GTTTGACGATTCAGACAACAATGAGGATTATACACAGTTGTCGGGTGATAGCAGCAGCAGCAGTGAAAGTGAGAATGACCGCCATGCCATGGCGAGGCCTATTCGCTCTCCCATGCCTCCTCGCCCATTTTCTACCCCAATTCTACCACGACCTCACAGTTCCTGTGGATATTTTCTGTTTGAGGGTGACGAGTCAGAGGGAGGTGACTCCTTTTCTGGGTTTAGTGACTCAGATCAAAGTTTTATTGAGCCTGTGGCTGGTACCAGTGGTGTAACTGGGCGAGAAATTGTCGCGTCAGCAGCATCTCGCCCGGCCAAGCGCCACCGCATGGCACCACATGAGGGACCAAGACCCTCGTGTTCACGTGCACCCACCTCACGTGCACGTAGCCGCCGTGCTTCTCGCAGACGGTATTCAGCTCCTGGTCGCCGGTATGCATCGCTTCCTCGCCGTCTTTCCTCTGCATCTCGCAGGACGCCTGGTGTACTTGAGTGGAGTGATGGTGACGATTTTATTCCTAATATTCCTCACTTTGACGATAAAGATGTAGGGATTACAAACCTTTTCCCTAATCAAGGTGAGGACATGGCTGAGATGGAATATTTTACAGCATTCTATGATGAACCACTCATGGAATACATTGTACACCAAACGAACCTGCATGCTGCTTACCTGATTGAGAGGGAAATCACAGAATTTTCACGACTGCAGCGTTGGAAAAATACCACAGTGGCGGAAATGTATGTGTTTTTGGCACTCTGTTTGTTGATGAAGCACTGTCACAAACATGCAATAAATGACTATTGGAGCAAGGACAAGACAATACCAACACCTTTATTCGGGAAATATATGTCACGAGACAGGTTTCAGATACTCCTCAGGTGTCTACATTTTGGAAGTGTTCAGGACCGAACACCTGATGATAGACTGTGGCGAGTGAGGCACTACATGAACGATGTTATTGGAAAATTCAGAGATTTTTACGTACCAGCACAGAAGCTGGTGGTTGATGAATCTCTCATACTTTTCAAGGGACGTGTTCCGTTCAAACAGTACATTCCCTCAAAACGAAACCGATTTGGCCTGAAATTTTTTGTTCTTTGTGATTGTGAGACAGGATACGTGTTACACATGATTCTGTACTCGGCTAGTGATGTAGACATTCCCGGTAACGACGAACATGGATTCTTGGGGAGTGTAGTGAAGACCATCATGGCTCCGTGGATGAACAAGGGACACATTTTATACACAGATAATTACTATACAAGTCCCTTGCTAGCTCGGTTCTTGCTAGAAAATAGAACCGGATTGGTTGGTACAGTAAAGCCACAACGAAGGGAAATGCCTGTGTTTGACAACGACATTGCAGTTGGTGAGTGTCAGAGAAGGAAAAGTGATAACATTCTGTCAGTTCGGTGGAAAGACAAAAGAGAGGTGAACTTGTTGACAACAATTCATGATGGAACAATGGTGAACAGTGGGAAAGTGAGCCATAAAACAAACGCACCACTATATAAGCCAGACTGTGTTTTAGACTATAATATCAACATGCGGTTGATTGATAAATCAGACATGATGATTGGCACTGCAGAGTGTGTGCAGAAGACATGTAGGTGGACGAAAAAAGTGTTCTTCCATCTTGTGGACATGAGCATGCTGAACTGTTTCAACATGTACCTTGTGAGAACTGGACGTAAGCCCACTTTCCGTGACTTTGTATTTGATGCTGCAATACGGTTATTAGGAAAGTTTGCAAAAGATGTCCCAGGTATTCAGCGGCCCATCATAAACCCACTGTTGCAGCATGCTGGTACTCCACGCCTCGCTCACACTGAAGGCTTCCTAGCACACAAACTTAAGTATTTGCCACCTGGTGTGAAGCGTTCAATAGCCCAACGTGATTGCTTGGTGTGTAAAACAACGACACGTAGAGACAAGAAACGGAAGCTTGTGCAAACATGGTGTGAAACGTGTGGTATCCCATTATGTGCTGTCGACTGCTTCAATGACTACCACAGTCTAGAAATCTTCTAAGTGTGCTTCAAAGTGTGTATAGCGTGTGCGAGTGTGTAAATATGTAAACATATAAGCAGATAGCGTGTGCGTGTGTGTAAATATATACAAATATAAGCAGAACATACAATATAATAGACTGTAATGACATATTATATTGCCATAATTGAAAACATTTGTGTGCGCCTGTGTATACTCAAATATGCAACAATTATTGATACAAAATATGTTCAAACAGTATTTGAAACACAATTAGTGAAAAAAAATTAGATAAAATGCGCTTAGACATTGTAAATAAATAGCGCGAAAATATATTTGTGGCAACTCTGGCTGTTTGAGGACCGCGCGCAACATCTCCCGGGCGTGTACTGCATGAGCGAACATGCAGATTGTGACGTCATCACCGAGCTTCTCGGCTCTATTGCAACAAAAGTAAGTACAATAGAATTTTTTTTTATTTTTCCCGTGATCAGTGAACAGAACTTAACAGATTAGCAAAAAAAAAAAATTTTTTTTTTTTTCAAAATGACATGCGCCTGTGTGGATAGCAGGATATTAGACCCCGAGCATGTTAAGGGTTAAGGTGACTTGGTCGTGTTTACAAGGGTTGTGTGAGGATCAGGGGCAGTCAAATTGTAGGGTTCTCTAATTCTTGGATGATGACTCACTTTGCACTTTGTATCTTGAACATTAAGTTGAATGGCTCAAATTATGATACTTATCATGAAAAATATAATTGTTGAATTTATTATTTAAATTGTCTTTAACTTTGTTCCCTAGAGTTTTTGAGTTGAGGTGAGAAAGCCTCTGCAGTTACTGGTTCATGATTTTAATGAGTACATGATACAGTTGGAATATACTAATAATGACCTCGTGTTAACATCTTTGAGAATTTTGTGATACAGACAAGTTCCATTCCTTGTCTTGTATGTAATGGTCTTGAATGGATGGTGGCAGCATTTCTTCTTCTACTATCTACGTTTCTACTTCTACCTATCTACGTTTCTACTTCTACCTATCTACTCCTCTCCCTCCACCCCTCTCTAAACTCTCACTTTCAACTGACGACCCTCCTCGCTCCTCCCGCCTCTCTCACCCCAAACCCTCACTAATTACTTCATTATTCATCTCTTTCCTTTCGTTTTCTCTTATACGTTTGTGGCAGTGATGTAACACTGTAAAAGTGTTTGGTTTAGTTTATTTAAAATATATATACTGTAGTACATGAGTCACAGACAAGGATTTGGGAAGGCGCCAAGTTGTCAGCGGAGTTTCACACCTCTAAGAGTTAATGACCCCAAGTGACCCGAGGTCAGATCATGCGAATTTCACCTTACTTCTACTAATCTTATAATTGGAGCCTGGTAGCCTTCAAACATGCCGACGTTTAAGGAGTGGCTTGGTAGAGAGCCTGAGGCTATCTACTTGTGGGCGGAGTTAGCTACTAGGTTCCCCAATATATACTCGGAGAGCTATCGATTCGAGAGGATTAACAAAACAGAAGACCAGGCAGCAGAGCGGGACGACAACAGCCAAGACAGGCTGTCGGTCGGACGGGGGTGACGCTGCCTGACAGCTGCAGACTCCCCCCCCCCCCCCACTCTCTATCCAGCTATAGGCAGGCACTTGGTGAGTTGAACATTAAGGTGACTTGGTTGTGTTTTACAAGTGTTGTGTGATGATCAGGGGCAGTCAGTTGTAGTGTTCTCAGATTCTTGGAGGATGACTCACTTTACCTATATATATCTTGAACATTGCTTAAATTATGATACTTAGTATGTGAAATATATGAATTTATTATTTAAATCGTCTTTGTTCCCTAGAGCTTTGAGTTGAGGTGAGAAAGCCTCGGTGGTTACTAGATTCATGATATTAATGAGTACATGTTTGGAGTTGATACATGGTACAGAGGGAACATACTAATAATGAACTCATGATAACATCTTTTGAGAATATTGTAATACAGACAAGTTCCATTCCTTGTCTGGTATATAATGGTCTAGAATGGATGGTGGCAGCATTTCGTCTTCTACTATCTACTCTTCTACTTCTACTATCTACTCTTCTACTTCTACCTATCTATTCCTCTCCCTCCATCCCTCTCCGAACTTTCCCTTTCAGCTAATGACCCTCCTCGCTCCTCCCACCTCTCTCTGCCTCTCACCCCAAACCCTCACTAATTACTTCACTATTCATTTATTTCCTTTCGTTTCCTCTTATACGTTTGTGGCAGTGAAATGTATTCTAGAGTTCTCTCTAGAGTTTCGGGTAGCTGATCCAGTTACGGCGCCTTGTAGTCTTAGCACCTAGGTAGTCAAATACCTAGGTTACAAGGTGTTGAACGAGAGAGGTTGCCTTAGGAACTCTGGGGGTGCTCTAGAATAGTTAGCTAACTGGGGACGGGATAACGGACTAGAGAGAGCTGTTTCCCCCGGCCTCGTTAGTCAACTGGGGGGTGGAATAATGGACAAGAGAGAGCTATTTCCCCCACCCCCCGTTACAACTGTACCTAAAAACAAAATGAAACCAATCGGTCTCTGCTGTCAATGGTACCGGCCACCCTCCTCGTGCCCTCGGGATATTAGGAAAAGTGTATCCAGTCTAGCATAGGAACCTATACCTATCTTAGCTGAAGAAAACAGACCAATGGTGTGGTAACCACCAGCCTAACAAACACCTACTTGGGCCGGACTGGAAAATGGGACTTTCAGCCACCATCTAAAGCATGTATACAGCCACCAAAACAACAGTGCTACAATAAAATGAGTAAATGGGTAAAGCCGAGGCTGAAGCCAAGTGCTACCCAACACCTAGAAAGGAGCCAAGATCACCACTTCCACTACTTTCAAGAACTTACTTCCTTCTTCAAGCAAGTGTATTTCCACATTTTGCAAGTAGAAATGAGATAATACAAATAACAGTCAGTAATGGTTGATATAAAGCATATATATAGTAGCAGCATAATGTAGAGTACAGTATTAAGTACCTGTATTTTGGTGCGAAGCGTCTGTGCCGCAAAGAAGCACGAATTCACATCACGTTTTGCATGTAGTAACTGATCTGCTACCTTCCAAGCTTGTACCTGCAACAGAAACGAATTATTAACTACTTTTCCCTGTTAGTCCTACATTTTTTCTACATCCTTGGTTCACAACCAAGGATCCTGGGTTCGATCCCCGGGTGGAATAAAGACGGTTAGGCACGTTTCCTTCCAACCGACACCCTTGTTCACCCAACAGCAAGTATTTACCCAGGAGTTGCACACCTCGTGAGGGTTACATCCTAGGAAACGTCAACACTATTTGGCTTAGGGGGGACCTGCCAGATAGGTGGAAAGGGAGAGGGGGACCTGCCAGACAGGTGGAAGGGGGAGGGGGACCTGCCAGACAGGTGGAAGGGGGAGGGGGACCTGCCAGACAGGTGGAAGGGGGGAGGGGACCTGCCAGACAGGTGGAAGGGGGCGGGGGACCTGCCAGACAGGTGGAAGGGGGAGGGGGACCTGCCAGACAGGTGGAAGGGGGAGGGGGACCTGCCAGACAGGTGGAAGGGGGAGGGGGACCTGCCAGACAGGTGGAAGGGGGAGGGGGACCTGCCAGACAGGTGGAAGGGGGAGGGGGACCTGCCAGACAGGTGGAAGGGGGAGGGGGACCTGCCAGACAGGTGGAAGGGGGAGGGGGACCTGCCAGACAGGTGGAAGGGGGAGGGGGACCTGCCAGACAGGTGGAAGGGGGAGGGGGACCTGCCAGACAGGTGGAAGGGGGAGGGGGACCTGCCAGACAGGTGGAAGGGGGGAGGGGACCTGCCAGACAGGTGGAAGGGGGCGGGGGACCTGCCAGACAGGTGGAAGGGGGAGGGGGACCTGCCAGACAGGTGGAAGGGGGAGGGGACCTGCCAGACAGGTGGAAGGGGGCGGGGGACCTGCCAGACAGGTGGAAGGGGGAGGGGGACCTGCCAGACAGGTGGAAGGGGGAGGGGGACCTGCCAGACAGGTGGAAGGGGGAGGGGGACCTGCCAGACAGGTGGAAGGGGGAGGGGGACCTGCCAGACAGGTGGAAGGGGGAGGGGGACCTGCCAGACAGGTGGAAGGGGGAGGGGGACCTGCCAGACAGGTGGAAGGGGGAGGGGGACCTGCCAGACAGGTGGAAGGGGGAGGGGGACCTGCCAGATAGGTGGAAGGGGGAGGGGGACCTGCCAGATAGGTGGAAGGGGGAGGGAGACCTGCCAGATAGGTGGAAGGGGGACCTGCCAGACAGGTGGAAGGGGGAGGGGGACCTGCCAGACAGGTGGAAGGGGGAGGGGGACCTGCCAGACAGGTGGAAGGGGGAGGGGGACCTGCCAGACAGGTGGAAGGGGGAGGGGGACCTGCCAGACAGGTGGAAGGGGGAGGGGGACCTGCCAGACAGGTGGAAGGGGGAGGGGGACCTGCCAGACAGGTGGAAGGGGGAGGGGGACCTGCCAGACAGGTGGAAGGGGGAGGGGGACCTGCCAGACAGGTGGAAGGGGGAGGGGGACCTGCCAGACAGGTGGAAGGGGGAGGGGGACCTGCCAGACAGGTGGAAGGGGGAGGGGGACCTGCCAGACAGGTGGAAGGGGGAGGGGGACCTGCCAGACAGGTGGAAGGGGGAGGGGGACCTGCCAGACAGGTGGAAGGGGGAGGGGGACCTGCCAGACAGGTGGAAGGGGGGAGGGGGACCTGCCAGACAGGTGGAAGGGGGGGAGGGCTCAGGTGATTTCGGGTCTTAGCGTCCCCGCGGCCCGGTCCTCGACCAGGCCTCCACCCCCAGGAAGCAGCCCGTGACAGCTGACTTAACACCCAGGTACCTATTTTACTGCTAGGTAACAGGGGCATAGGGTGAAAGAAACTCTGCCCATTGTTTCTCGCCGGCGCCCGAGATCGAACCCAGGACCACAGGATCACAAGTCCAGCGTGCTGTCCGCTCGGCCGACTGATCAAGTGGTACATTCTTGCAAAGCCACTAACATGCATAGCATTTCCCACAGCTCCTTACGCTAAACACAACTTGCTATTAATTACAAACAAGAAGGTGAATAGTCAATCTTGAATACAACAATGTAGTGCCGAGTACATCAGACTTTGAATTCAGATTACTGTATTACCAAATTAATACAACGATAAAAGAAATTATAGCGATGTAGTTGTATTTCTAGATACTAACATACTAGGCAAGTCAGTAGCAGAAGGTTAATTATGATTAATTGGTGGAAGACTTGCCACTTTCAAAACAAATCCCTATTCAGACCAGTATTTCCCAACCAGTGTTCTTCACAATCATAAGAAATCCAGGGATTTCACAAGAGATACGGATAAATACACTAAATCTTATCATACGCAAATGTATTTTTGAGTTTTTTGTATCAAATTATTTAATTTAACCTGCATCAAGAACAAAGACAGAAATAGTCTTTCAACTGACAATGAAACTCTTGTGTATTTATGTAAAGTATTACCCAAAATTATTTTAAAGGCACAAAAAAGGTTGAGAAATGGCAATTTAGACCAATTTAGTCATTGTTTATGCAAGAATTTGTATATAATTACCTAATATACATTAACATTTGCACACGGCCTTAAAGACGTTTGTGTTTATTAGTGATATTAGTGTACAATTAGTGATGTATAGTGTTGCCAGCTGCCTAGATATCTTAAGACGCAAATCATTTGTAGCGGGTATTAATGTTATTATTAAAACCTTTCCAACCCAAGATAATCCAGCCAAAGCCTGTCATACACAAGCTTAACATTTAGAAAACTGTGTGTGCAAATTATGGTAGTCAAATTGTACACAGGATCACGGTAGTCAAATTGTACACAGGATCACGGTACAGTCAAATTGTACACAGGATCATGGTACAGTCAAATTGTACACAGGATCATGGTACAGTCAAATTGTACACAGGATCACGGTACAGTCAAATTGTACACAGGATCACGGTACAGTCAAATTGTACACAGGATCATGGTACAGTCAAATTGTACACAGGATCATGGTACAGTCAAATTGTACACAGGATCACGGTACAGTCAAATTGTACACAGGATCATGGTACAGTCAAATTGTACACAGGATCACGGTACAGTCAAATTGTACACAGGATCACGGTACAGTCAAATTGTACACAGGATCACGGTACAGTCAAATTGTACACAGGATCATGGTACAGTCAAATTGTACACAGGATCACGGTACAGTCAAATTGTACACAGGATCACGGTACAGTCAAATTGTACACAGGATCACGGTACAGTCAAATTGTACACTGTATCATGGTACAGTCAAAGTGTACACAGGATCATGGTACAGTCAAATTGTACACTGTATCATGGTACAGTCAAAGTGTACACAGGATCATGGTAGTCAAATTGTACACAGGATCACGGTACAGTCAAATTGTACACAGGATCATGGTACAGTCAAATTGTACACTGGATCATGGTTATCTTGAGATGATTTCGGGGCATAGCGTCCCCGCGGCGCGGTCCACGACTAGGCCTCCTTTTGGTTACACGCCCCCCAGGAAGCAGCCCGTAGCACCTGTCTAACTCCAAGCTACCTATTGACTGCTAGGTTAACAGGAGCATCAGGGTGACAGAAACCGCCCATTTGTTTCCGCCTCCACCGGGAATCGAACCCGAAACGTTAGTACTATGAATCCCAATCGCTGTCCACTCAGCCGTCAAGCCCCCCTAATAAATTACCCGATGGGCTACCCTAAGCAGTATAACTGATGGGTAATGACTATATTGATTTCCCACTTTATCTGGAGACAAAAACCCTACAAGGTTTGTCGAGGTCCCTCCATGCCCTGCCCGGGACCCCGACTCCATAGTTGACCCCACAATCGGGGTACCAATGTACTGCTCGGTGAACAGGGGCATGAGGTGTCAAACCACGCACCCAAACGTCCTGCCCAGCTTGTGAACCAACCCCGGGGCAAAATGAGTTACAAAACAGCTGCACTAATAGCTACACCACAGAAAAAATATTAGCAACATTAATGACAAAATAATTTAAGCTTAAATTGTAATTTTTAGTGATTGTTAGGCTTAATACATGGGGTAAGTGGGTGAGGAGGGGGTGTGGCCCTGGGGTCAGGGCCACACCCCAGGACCACCATCCCCCAGGGACCCCCCAGGGACCCCCCAGGGACCACCAGGGACCCCCCAGGACCCCCCAGCACCCACCAGGGACCACTTACAGAACGCTGCAGCTGGCCCAGCCACTTGGAGGCCTGGTCGTGCTCACCACCCACCAGGACCCCCCAGCACCCACCACCACCCCCCAGGGACCCACCAGAGACCACCAGGACCCCCCAGCACCCCCCAGGGACGACCAGCACCCCCCCAGGACCCACCAGCACCCCCCAGGGACCACCAGGGACCACTTACAGAACGCTGCAGCTGGCCCAGCCACTTGGAGGCCTGGTCGTGCTCCCCCCCACCACCCCCAGGACCCCCCACCACCCCCAGGACCCCCCACCACCCCCCAGGACCCCCCACCACCCCCCAGGACCCCCCAGGGACCACCAGGGACCACTTACAGAACGCTGCAGCTGGCCCAGCCACTTGGAGGCCTGGTCGTGCTCCCCCCCACCACCCCCCAGGACCCACCAGCACCCCCCAGGACCCCCCAACACCCCCCAGGACCCCCCAGGGACCACCAGGGACCACTTACAGAACGCTGCAGCTGGCCCAGCCACTTGGAGGCCTGGTCGTGCTTGACCCCAGGACCCCCCACCACCCCCCAGCACCCACCACCACCCACCAGCACCCCCCAGGGACCCCCCAGGGACCACCAGGGACCACTTACAGAACGCTGCAGCTGGCCCAGCCACTTGGAGGCCTGGTCGTGCTTGACCCCAGGACCCCCCACCACCCCCCACCACCCACCACCACCCACCAGCACCCCCCAGGGACCCCCCAGGGACCACCAGGGACCACTTACAGAACGCTGCAGCTGGCCCAGCCACTTGGAGGCCTGGTCGTGCTCCCCCCCACCACCCCCCAGGACCCACCAGCACCCCCCAGGACCCCCCAGCACCCCCCAGGGACCCCCCAGGGACCCCCCAGGGACCACCAGGGACCACTTACAGAACGCTGCAGCTGGCCCAGCCACTTGGAGGCCTGGTCGTGCTCCCCCCCACCACCCCCCAGGACCCACCAGCACCCCCCAGGACCCCCCAGCACCCCCCAGGGACCCCCCAGGGACCACCAGGGACCACTTACAGAACGCTGCAGCTGGCCCAGCCACTTGGAGGCCTGGTCGTGCTCCCCCCCACCACCCCCCAGGACCCACCAGCACCCCCCAGGACCCCCCAGCACCCCCCAGGGACCCCCCAGGGACCCCCCAGGGACCACCAGGGACCACTTACAGAACGCTGCAGCTGGCCCAGCCACTTGGAGGCCTGGTCGTGCTCCCCCCCACCACCCCCCAGGACCCACCAGCACCCCCCAGGACCCCCCAGCACCCCCCAGGGACCCCCCAGGGACCACCAGGGACCACTTACAGAACGCTGCAGCTGGCCCAGCCACTTGGAGGCCTGGTCGTGCTTGACCTTGTCATGGAGCTCGGCGTCGTAGAGAGTGTTGACGGCGGCCAACACCTCGCTGATGTCCACCTCCATCTTAGCATACTCTTGAGGGCGGAGTGGGCGTCGTGGTGGTCTCACACTCGCACACGGGGGTAAAGCGGAGTGGGCGTCGTGGTGGTGTCACACTCGCACACACGGGGGGAGAGCGGAGTGGGCGTCGTGATGGTCTCACACTCGTACACCGGGGGGAGACGCCACCAGCCAGCCAGCCAGTCACTGTCTCTCTCTCTCTCTCACCCAACTACCCCTTCTACCGCACCATTACCGCCCTCCTGGGCGTCACGGGGTGCTGGGCAAGCCGTAGGGGAGGTCACACGCCGCTAGGGAGGTCACACACGCGGGTTCAGAGTTCACAACATATGAGGCAGGTCACAAGGGGATGAAATGTATGGTGGTGGTTGTAACGCCTGGCCAGCGCTCGCTGGGTCAAACCTCTTTGCTCTCTTCTCTCTCTCTCTCTCTCTCTCTCCTTATCGCCTTACTTCCTTTATATATATATATTAACTTCCCTCCTCGCCCTAAACTATAAAATGATAAATTTATTCCGCGTTTCCTTCAATACACATCAATTCGGCATTTTAAATTTCATGGATATCTTGTATAAATAAATGTATTTAATGCCATATATATACTTTTTTAACTGTATTTTACACTTTTATAATATATTCACGAATTTATATTACATTAAATTTCATATAGAATAGGTATTTTTCAGATAAATATTAATAATTTGCATACCTATCAGACAAAATAATGTATCATTTTAAACCATAATACACTCATACACTAGCTAAAAAATAAATTGAAGATTTTTGTATGGTATATATAGCAAAATTTAACTTAACTAACTCATCAGTTAAATTTAACGGAATGCTTTATAAATAAAGCGGGAGCCCGCGGGCGCTGGCCAGGGCCCGCCATAAGATGAATCACACACTGACCCCAACACAGCCCCCGCCAATATTTAACTTATTTTACCTTAGGGACACTAATACTAGTGGTCTCGACGAGGACACGAAGCCGGAGGCTTGTCAACGGTCCCCTGTATTTGCCCTGATGATCTTTTTCAGTCCTATTTTAAAACCCAGTAGAGTTTGAGCATTGATGGCTTCGGCGGGTAAGCGGTTCCACGGGTTTATAACCCTAAGGGTGAAAAAACAACTTTTTTTCCTGTTCTTAGTCCTATATTGTGACTTGTTGAGCTTTAAACATACATATATATTCTTTCACTGTTAATTAACCTCCAGTAAAGGCTTTTACTTCCATATATCACAAGTTTATTTGATCTGGCCCCTGATTCACGAAGCAGTAATGCAAGTACTTACGAACGTGTACATCTTTCCTCAATCATTGACGGCATTGGTTACATTTATTAAACAGTTTATAAGCATGAAAACTTCCCGATCAACTGTTGTTATTGTTATAAACAGCCTCCTGGTGCTTCGGAGCTCATTAACTGTTTAATAATTGTAAACAGAGCCGCCAAAGATTGAGGAAAGATGTACACGTTCGTAAGTGCTTGCGTAACTGCTTCGTAAATCTGGTCCCTAGTCTCTCAGTTTCTCTATCATGGTCTCAGTGATTTCCCGGTCATTCTTGTCTATTTCTTTGATGAGGCTTCTTAAATTGAGATGTTTTTCCGTGTAACTATTAACTACCACTTCTCCTACACTGCCAATTATCAGTGGTGTTACTCAGGGTAGTGTGCTTGGTCCACTCCTCTTTCTTATCTACATTTATTTATTTATTTTTTTACATGAAGGTACATTAGGCTGTGAGAGTATATAACATTGGTATTTTTACATTCTTGTAAAGCCACTAACACGCATAGCGTTTCGGACAGGTCTTTAATCAAACTAATAAAACTGAAAACAGAATTTGAGTTCAAGAAAATAACATAAAACTGTAGCAAAATTTGAGTATAATAGATACATTGTAACAAAATTTGAGTTTAACATAATAATTACAATAATTTGTTAGAATACATACATACAAGATGAATTACAAGCAGAATGTTGGATTTCTAGAGAGAGCGAGTACAGTATAGTACAGTACAGTACAGTACAGTACAGTACAGTACAGTATAGTACAGTACAGTATAGTACAGTACAGTACAGTACATATAATGCCTAAAGCCACTAATATGCACAGCGTTTCCAGCAAGATATTGGGAAATTAATTTAAAAACTAAGATTTAAAACTAATTGAGATTAGAAATTGCAACAGAAGAGCAGATAGTAATTGTAATTAAATAAACAGATGGAATACAATTTTATCTTTAGCTTATACATGGCAGATATCAGCAGTTTTACTAGTCGTTAATTATTAATGTTTGATAATAGCAAGACATAGGTTGACATTTAAGAGGTAAGGTAGAATAGGTGGAATTTTGTGCCTCGGAGAGGCTACAGGATCCAGTAAGTTCAGTAGAACTTCAGTTTCAACTCCTTTTACCATGTCGTAGCTCAGTCGATTAAGGCAGCGTCTGGGATGCTCTCAGACACAGGTTCGAATCCTCGTCACGGCCCTTGTGGATTTGTTCGTTAGAATACGGGGAGTTAATTAGGTATTACTTAGTTTTTCTCGTGATGGGGAAAGTCATTCCAGAGAATCTGAGAGTGAGGATGATGGACAAGACGATTTGCAGACCTTTTCAGGTAGCAATGACCAGGGGCCAGATTCACGAAGCAGTTACGCAAGCACTTACGAACGTGTACATCTTTCCTCAATCTTTGACGGCTTTGTTTACATTTATTAAACAGTTTATAAGCATGAAAACTTGCCAATCAAATGTTGTTATTGTTATAAACAGCCTCCTGGTGCTTCGGAGCTCCTTAACTGTTTAATAATTGTAAACAAAGGTGCCAAAGATTGAGAAAAGATGTATAGGTTCGTAAGTGCTTGCGTAACTGCTTCGTGAATCTGGCCCCAGGAGACACACGGAAAAAGTGTGCACAGAGAGTTAAGTGATACGGACAGTGATGAACGACCAGGTGGTGATACTGACAGTGAAGTGCAGCTAATATCCCGCTGACGAGCACAGATAATACAGTTTAGTATGTGCGGATCTGCGGACCTTACGACTATTATCTTTTCGCGAATGGGCAGGCCGTGAGAGCCGACAATGCGTACAATCGCGGTCCCAGACTACTGCCTCCCACATACACAGCCTCGCTCCTGTGCCGGGTAAGTCCACTACGGGCTCACCATAGCCCGTGCTACTTGCCCCGCTCCTGTGCCGGGTAAGTCCACTACGGGCTCACCATAGCCCGTGCTACTTGCCCCGCTCCTGTGCCAGGTAAGTCCACTACGGGCTCACCATAGCCCGTGCTACTTGCCCTCGCTCACTGTCAACCATATTTAATAAATCAATAGAGTCAGGCAGAGTGCCAGAGTTTTGGAAAGTTGCTAATGTGATACCAGTTTTTAAGAAAGGAGATAGATCACTTGCGTCTAACTATCGACCAATTAGCCTAACGTCTATTGTGGGAAAGTTACTCGAATCTATAATAGCAAATAAAATTCGTCTTCATCTTGAAAAACATAAATTAATAATTGAGTCGCAACATGGTTTTATAAATGGCCGTTCATGTTTAACAAATTTGTTATCTTTTTATTCTAGCATTGTTGAGGCAGTTGATAGTGGTAAGGATTGCGATGTTGTATACCTTGACTTTAGCAAAGCTTTTGATACAGTGCCACATGAAAGACTGATTAAAAAAATAGAGTCTCATGGTATTGGGGGTGCTATATTAAGCTGGATTAGGGCATGGCTATACCAAAGGAAACAGAGAGTTAGTATAAATGGAATCAAGTCAGAGTGGGAAAATGTTGTAAGTGGAGTGCCTCAAGGCTCTGTCCTGGGACCTCTGTTGTTTATAATATATATAAATGATTTAGATTCAGGTTTGAGTAGCAACATTTGCAAATTTGCCGATGATACGAAAATCGGTAGGGAAATTAATTCGGAGGAGGACTCACTATCACTTCAAGTTGATCTAGATAGGGTTTTGAAATGGTCAAAGGATTGGCAGATGCAGTTTAATGCTGATAAATGTAAAGTTCTGAGGTTAGGTAATGATGATAGAGTTACTAGATACGAGCTAGATGGTGTTGTGATTGCGAAGTCGGATTGCGAAAGGGATCTGGGAGTTATGATTAGTAAGAATTTAAAACAAAAGGATCAATGCATAAATGTTCGTAATAAGGCAAATCGGACACTTGGATTTATTAATCGCAGCGTTAGTAACAAGACACCTGGTGTGGTTCTCAAGCTATATCTTGCTCTAGTTAGGCCCCATTTAGATTATGCAGTTCAGTTTTGGTCGCCATATTATAGAATGGATATAAATTCACTTGAACGTGTCCAGCGTAGGATGACTAAGTTAATTCCCCAAATTAGAAATCTTTCATATGAAGAAAGATTAACAAAGCTTAAGTTGCATTCACTGGAAAGGCGAAGAGTTAGGGGCGACATGATAGAGGTTTACAAGTGGGTGAATGGACATAACAAGGGGGATATTAATAGGGTATTAAAAGTATCAACACAGGACAGAACACGAAACAATGGGTATAAATTGGATAAGTTTAGATTTAGGAAAGACTTGGGTAAATACTGGTTCAGTAACAGGGTTGTTGATTTGTGGAACCAATTGCCGCGTAACGTGGTGGAGGTGGGGTCCCTCGATTGTTTCAAGCGCGGGTTGGACAAGTATATGAGTGGGATTGGGTGGTTATAGAATAGGAGCTGCCTCGTATGGGCCAATAGGCCTTCTGCAGTTACCTTTGTTCTTATGTTCTTATGCTCCTGTGCCAGGTAAGTCCACTACGGGCTCACCATAGCCCGTGCTACTTGCCCCGCTCCTGTGCCAGGTAAGTCCACTACGGGCTCACCATAGCCCGTGCTACTTGCCAAGCTCCTGTGCCAGGTAAGTCCACTAGGGGCTCACCATAGCCCGTGCTACTTGCCCCGCTCCTGTGCCAGGTAAGTCCATTACGGGCTCACCATAGCCCGTGCTACTTGCCCCGCTCCTGTGCCAGGTAAGTCCACTACGGGCTCACCATAGCCCGTGCTACTTGCCCCGCTCCTGTGCCAGGTAAGTCCACTACGGGCTCACCATAGCCCGTGCTACTTGGAACTTTTGTACTGAGTAGGTGAATCTAAAACAGACTGCGTCCTTGCAGGCGTTGTGTCACCATAGACTTGAGAATGGTCCAGGACGGACGGAAACGTGGTCGTCCCTTCACCTTCCAGTGTGTGGTGTGGTCAACATAGAGGGTAACATTACTGCATCTACCTTGTATTACTTCCATGTTGGTGTTAGTTGTATCTTTGACAATGAAATGCATCATTGAAGGACACCAAACTATGTAACATTAGAACAAAATGATCTTATTATGCTTTCACATGCATTTTGTTCACATTTTGAAGG